TTAATTGTAAAAAAAAAAATTATACATAAAAAACAATTTAAAATATAGGTGGTGCGTTTATTTTGGAAGCCACTGTACTATGACCAATTTATAAAAGATATATACCTGATAAAAAAATAAATAAAATTAGATGTCAGATATATGAATGATGAATTTGAATAAAATGTCAAAATATTAATATCCAATATGAAACCGATATGGGTTTGATAAGTGTTCAAACTTTTATATTTCGACCTCACCAATTATGTACCTAATATATTATATAATTGTTAATATCGAGTACCTATCATTATCTATCAGAAACCCAATAGATATATGATAGGTGTCTGATATTTCTTATTTCAACTAGTGAAATTAAATTAATAATAGTTTAGTTTAAAGTAGGTAGTTAAAACATAACGTGTAATTTAACAACTGTTTTATTTAATAAAGTATTTAACAGAACTCCATTGGTTAAAAAAAAAAAAAAATTCAAAAACAGTACTAAATAATCTCAAAAACAAAAATTAATTACACTTTCTACAAGAAGCATAGGTCAATTTTATCAAAATTAAATAAACAGTAGCTTTTTTAAATTTTTTTCCATTTCAATTTTATCTACTTATAGTTCTCTCAATTTTTATAATATAAGTTTGTTCTTTTTACAAAAGGTGTATTTTGTTTTTATCTTTAAAATTATTTTATAGTATTTTTAATATTTTCTTATTTTTTTTTTTTTTTAACCATTGAAATCTTATTAGATACTTTATTAAATAAAACAAAAGTTAAATTTACATGTTGTGTTGTAACTACCTACTCTAAACTAAACCATTACTAATTTAATCTAAATGACGAGTTGATCCATTAACATCCACAATAGGAATTGATAGTCAAAACTTTGTCAGTTAATATAATTATAGTAATATTTATAAAAAAGAACATTTCTATACATAGTTAGTAAATTGTATAAAGTTATTGCATGTTTGAGAGATGAGCTGTATAAGTGTTTGTATAATTTATAACTATTATTATTATTACTTTTAATATTTTCTTAAATAAAAAGTTTTATATATAACAATGATGATGAATTATTTTTGATTCTTATAAGTTAGAATTATATAGGAGATTTAGAATAGTTTAAGAAGTTTAAGATAATTTCAGAAATTTAGAATAGTTTAGGAGGTTTGGAAAAAGTTTAGGAATTTCAGAATTTGAACAAATTATGTAAAAGGCCAAATCCCTTTAGGACAGTTTTGGTTTTGGCTTTTTCCTAAACTATAGGATTTAGTCTCCATCACTAGTTGTAAAAGAATAAACTATAACTTATTAGACTCCTGATCAATATTGATATAATTTTTTATATTGATCAGTATAATAAGATATTGATTATTTTCTATATACAATAGTAAAATGATTTGACAATTTTTAAAAGGATTTACAAAATTTTTATAAATTGTAAACAAATTAAACATGTTATCAAAAGTATAACTCAATTACTGAAATTTAATTGTATTTAAATTCAATAATTTTGATAACATGTATAATAAAATTTGCATTTAACAATTTATGTATACATAAATAAAGAAATTTTAATTGCACAATTTTTCACTTTCCTTCAAAACCATATGAAATTAACCATTTTATTCATCATCAATTTTTGAAGCAAGGTAATATCGAATATAACCAATATCCATTTATATTCTTCAAGCAATGGCATATTTTCAGATAAATAAAATATAACTTGTTCAGATAATGGGATACCTTTTGTGAAATTCAAAGATATTTGAGAGAGAATTGAAGTGAAACATCCTTGATCAAGTTCAATATTAACAGATTCTTCGGACTAAAAAGAATTCAAAAGAATTAAGATAAACAGAAAATATTCATAAACGATTTATCATTATATTAAATTTTTTCGGCTTCGAGAGTAATTTTATCATCATTTCCGGCGCACTTTAATATCTTATTCAAAGAGTTTAGATTCATACCCAAAGAAAAACCTCGGTCACAACGATATGGATTAAATCCTTCAGAACGTAATAAAAGTGATAATAACGCGACATGTGAGTTGTCCATTCACTACAATCAAAGTTCGCGTCGGTAACAAGTTCCTTGACGGACTCAAGTAACTTTTTGAGATCATGAATAAGACGTACTTCGAAGATTTTTATTATAAAATCTTAGAAAAGACGCGACAATCATTTACGTACCTCACAAACACGCATTAAATTTCTTTTTATTGGTTAATCAACAATTAACTTCACTAAATTTTTAATCTCATTCCTCATTCACAATATGTCCGACGCATACTCTTCGGTAGAATATGATAGCCCACAACAAAATAAAAACGAAAATGATGTATTTTCCAACCATGGCTCACTTTCGGACTTGGACAATGACGAGAAAGAACGTTATTCTCACCAAGAAGATGGAAAGAAAAATAATGAGGAGCTACGGTCTATTTCAGTGACTCCTGCTGAATCTCCAGTCGAAAAAGAATCGAACCCGAAGGAAAACTCTGAAAATAAAAATGCATCGGATAATGAACTCGATGATTTATTCGGAGGTGCGGAAAGCGAAGAAGAACCTTTTGAAAAGGAAAGGAGGTAATTGCCAATTCGATGTTAGCATCAAAACTCATAATAAATCTTCCGATCATAATTCTGTAATTTTTTATAAAGTGAGCGAAGTGAGCCAAGCGAACCTAGTGAGCAAGAAAGATCAGAAGACGTTACCCCAATAGCTTCACCAATACACTCTGAAAATGATGAATATCGTCAACCAGCCACTGGGACAGACACAATCACTAATATACATCGTTATACAACCAAAAGTTGTGACAAAAAGGTACTAACTTTAAATAATTTTTTAAATAATATTACCTATTTTATTTTTTATTTTTTTATTTTTAACTCATTTTAATAATTATTTTAGTATTATATTGCGAAAACTCCAACTTTTTTTACTTTTAACCTTGCTACTTTTAGTCCAGGGACTTACAATAAGGATGAAGATTGTACTATTGAAACTAATAATATGTCATTAGGTGCTGAAAATTCACTTCGATGGCGTTATAAAAAAGACCCTGTTACTGGTGAAGAGGTATTTTAAATAAATTCATCACATCAACTTATCCTTCAATTAATCTTCTTATCTTTCAATTAATCTTCTTATGAATGCTAGACTGACGAAAAGGAGTCGAATTCCAAAGTGATAAAATGGTCAGATGGTTCAATGTCATTAATGATTGGTGACGAGATGTTTGATATAACTCAGCAACCTCTAAATGATACCTACCAATATTTGTCAATTCCTCATCGTACAACGAATTCTTTGGAAAATAAAGAAAGGCTTACAGATATGTTATCATTTCATCCTTTTTTGGTTGGAAGAACCCATCGAATGTTGACGGCTTCCATTCAATCCAAGCATGTCAAACAAGTTAAAACCCAATTTGTTGACATGAATAAGGATCCGGACTTGGTTAAATTACAACTTTTTGTATGTATATTTTATGAAAAACATCAATAACCTATCGCTGTCATCGAAATAAAATTTTATTTATTATTTAATTCCAGGGTGAGAGGGAAAAGAAACAAGTCGGCAATAAACGTACATCAACTTCAGCTCGAATACCTCGGGGACGTAAGAAAAACGAAGACAATTATTCAGATGCAGAAGAAAATAGCTATTCCTTCTCGGTTGGTAGATCACGTACTGATACGTACGAGGATGGTTCAGGTTTCGTGGTTGCAGATGAGACTGCCGATGAAGAAGAATATGAAAAATCGGAAAGGCGACGCAAAGGGAAAGAAAAAGCAGTTGATAACCGTCGTAAAGATATATCATCAAATGTTATCTCATCAACGCGGCCTAGAAAACGACTAGTTGATGAAGCAGATGAAAATGAAGATTTTTATTCAGAAAATAACAAAGATTTTGATAACGAAGAATCATCATATTCGCGTTATAAACGAAGTGAACGTCATGAGCGTGAAGAACGACCTAAGAAAAAGATTAAGGAAGAGCATATAGAAGAAATGATTGAAGACGAAGAAAGTGAAGATGTCAATGTTATTGATCAGATCATGAGCGAACCTGATGAACAGGATGAGGAGGAAGATGAAATGCCTATAATGCCTAAAGCGAAAACAAGGAATAGAAACTTAATTGAAATTGATGACGATGACGATGATGATTGAAATATTTTTACCCAATATATATATGTAATTTAATAATTATCAAAAGAAGTAAAACAATTTTTAATCTTTTTTTCATTTATTAAAATAATCAATAAAGAAATTTGTAAATAGCTAATCACGAAATTTTTTATATTAACCATTTCCTGTAATAAGCAAATCAAATCTTATTAGCTAAATATATAATTTGAATTTAGACATATTTAGCACAAACTCCCCTTAAAATCTTAGCAGACTGTTTTAATTTGTCTTTCTCTTCTTGATTCAAGTTAATATCGATTACCTTTTCAACCCCATTTCTTCCTAACACAACAGGCATACTGAATACGCAACCGTATTCTTCAACATATGTACTCAAAGGTCGAATATGTCGTTGGTTAAATATAATAGATTGAACCACCAAGGAAACACATCCGGCAATTCCAAAAAATGTTGCACCTTTGAGTTTGATAATTTCATTGGCTTTGTTTGAAATTTCTTTTGCTACGAGTTCTTTGTCTAAAATTGCAACCTCTGGAAATTCTAATAAGGGTTTACCACCAACCGAAGCTGAACTCCATGCAATAATTTGTGAATCACCATGTTCACCCAACGAATAACAATGAATTGAATTTTCGGAAACCTATCGAATAACGATGTAATCATAAATACCCAGAAAATAAATTTCCAAAACAAATCACTTGACCTATAATTACCCCAAGTATGCCGGATAATTTACGTCTCAGTCTTGCTGAATCCAAGAAAGTACCTGATCCAAAAACTTGGTTTTTCGGCAAACCCGAAAGTTTTTGAGCAATATATGTTAAAATATCAACCTTTTTTACATTAATGTAAAGTTCATACATAACCAACGAATAAAATCTATAAATTTCAGATAATTTAAATTCTTACTGGGTTAGAGACCAATAATAAAATAGCGTTTGGATTAATTGGTTTCATAGATCCGATCACATTATCCAAAATTTTATAATTCCTATCAATTAACTAAAAAATTCAAAGTTCGTTTTTTATTTTTTTTTTGATTGAAATAGATTTTAAAATGTAGATAAATTAATACATCTAATCTCGTTTCATTAGGTCTTTGTTTAGCACCAGCAGTAATAATAATGATATCACTTTGGCCAGCTTCTTCAAAGGTTCCGACGCGAACATGATTGGAGGCGACAAAGTTTGCGTCAGAAAGATCAGATACTTGTCCTTCAGCAATTTCTTGAACGATATCGACCATAAGAATTTCTGAAGAAATCCTTTGGATGAGTAAAGCAAAAGCTATAGTAGATCCAACCGAACCAGCACCAATGACAGCAACACGCGAACTTCGAGACATGATTTATGATAATAATGTGGAAAAAAAGTTAAATTCTGCCTATCAAATGATATGCTTATTATGTATATATTAATAAAAATCAATTTTATCTGACGTCTCTATGATATTTCTTCTTTTTTTTTTTCCAGAGTTTATTATTTCAACCATTTCCATTACCATTACCAAAAGAAAGGTATCCTATACAAGTAACAAGACCTTGAAAAACAGGAAATCCAGATTCCCAAATTGTGGACTTTTTAATGATGTCAGGTCAGTATCAGCTTCAAAAGAAACTTATTGGAATGGTCTCAGAAGTTGTGCAGATTTGCATCTGACCTCGTTCTCATTACACTTTACAAAACTTCATTTATTTCTCTTTAACAAATATGAATTATCACAAGATATTCTTGCAATCAACACTGTCTTCATCTGTTGAATACAAGGAAGAAGAGTAGTTATATACCATCAATAATTTATTAATGCAGAGGTTTTTGAAATTATATTGTTGTTACTACTGTTTGGAAGAGCAATTAAAGGAATTGGTAATTAAGTAATAGTGGCAGGGATGAATTTGAAGTGGAAATAATGATAAATCTTGGTAAAGGGATAAATATCAAAAGTTATATGAGTAACTTTGCACTAATCTAAACTTTAAAAACAGAAAGATAAACAATAATCAAACTATACTTGCATGCAAAATTATTTTGGGGTCCTGAAATTGCAATTTCAGGAAAAAAAGTCAAAATAGTTTTTCATAGAAGACGAAATTATTTTACTTAAAACCCAAAATTTTTTGATTATCCAGATTTATTCTTTGATTAAATATACATATAACTGGGTACTTTTTTTACTTCCATATATAGAATAGATTCTGTATAAATCTCAAAAAGTTGAAATATCTCAAAAATCCAAAATCAATTTTGGAAATATGTATAAATCAAATTATAACAAAAATATCAAATATAAAAATATTAAAATATTAAAAGTTAAAATCAAAAACTAAATATTAAAGATAAAAGAAAAAATCAAAATCAAAATAATAAAAACAATAATTCAGTTTATAACAATTTACTTATAAAGTTTATTATTAAAAAAATAATTAAACTAAAAAATTATTAAATGGTTTGAACAATTAACTATTTTAATTATTAATAAATTGGATTAACAATTTAACAGTTAAAAAATAATATAATATATCAGGAAATTTTAAAAGGCAAAAATTTTCCAGAAAAAAAATTTGTATTTTGAAAATTTTGTAAAAAAATTTGTAATATTCTGAAAATTTTCACAAATATTCTGAAAATTTTATAAAAAAATTTACAATATTTCAAAAATTTTTTGTAAAAAATTTGTAAATTTTTCATGTAGAAAATTATTATATTTTCAATTTTTTTGAAAAATTTTGATAAGCTACAATTATATATAAACAAATTTTTCATATTTATAATTTATTATTATTTTATCATATTAATAATTATTATTATTTTATTTATTAATTTTAATATTTACAAAAACTTTTGAAATATATAAAATTTATTCTATTGTTCACTAATGTCACTTTCATTATCATTATCATCATCTTCTTTACTACCTTTTTCATATTTTTTTTTTTTAATTCCAACAGAGTCATGCTTTATTAAACAATTTATTTTGTAGTTAATAAAATTAAACAAATTTATAAAAATTACAAATATATTTGTCATAGCTAAATTAATAACACAACGGCCTGACTCATCGTTGTCCTAGTGTTATCTAAAACAACTGATGGTCATGCTCCTGCCTATCTCTTTTTGACCAATTTAAACAAAAAGTTACTAGAAAGAAATACTAACCTATCGAGGAGCTATAGATTAGAGAACTGTACACTAACATTTATACAGAAAAAAATTTAAATAGAAAATTAATAATAGATAAATATCCATATCTACTAATATTAAAACTAATTTTCAGAGCAAGAAATTACATGAAACTTTATGCACCTTTCCAATTAGCCAATTAGTTTTTGGATAATGTCTGTTTTGGTTTCTAGACTGTATACAGTTCAAATGTTCACTTATACCATGAACTCTAGTTCCTAATCCTTTTACAGTATTAACCAGATCAATTAATTCCTTAAACATATTGTCTAATGTTTTTAATACATTTGGATCATTTGTTTCTTCTCTCATTTTTATTTCTTTTCCTTTTCTATCTTTATTATTATTTTCTTTCAAGACTTGATCATGTTCATCAAGATGATTTTCAATGACAGAAAATCTTTTTGTTATATCTATCAAAACTTTAGCTACTTCTTCTATTCCTTTGTATAACTCTTCAATTTGTACAGTATACAATTCTATTATTTCTATTACATTTTGATTAAATTCATCAAATTCTTCATGTTGTTCTTTAATTTTATTCTTATTAATATCCTTTTTAACATTATTAGCTTTCTTCTTAATTATATCTACATAAGTATTTTGATTTGGATAGTTTTTATTAGATTGGAATAATAATTTGACTTATATTTTTTATACAAATTATCAAATTGTTTAATTTTTTCTTTCTTATTAAAAACTAACTATTTATGATATTTATTTACATTACATTTTTTTATTTTATGTAAATCTGAACTACAAATGAAACAAAAAGATGTTATCATAGGAACCATTCTAATTGTGATTTTCTTCATTAATTTCATTGTACTATACTGGTGTTTCTGTATTTCTTCTTCTGAATCAAATAAAATAATTACATAATTTTTTCTTTTATATCTTTCTCTAGTTCTTGAAATATAAATTATACGACCTTTGATATCTTTAACAATTTGTTTGATATCCAATGCTGTCATACCTCTAGGTAACTGGGTTAATTTTGCTATCCATTTATCTTTATTATTTAATTCTTCATAACTAGTATCACCTGATGTAATTCTTAAACAATCCATTCTGATCCAAATCGTCCATTCTGTTGATAATTTTTCTGCAACTTCCACATTTTCAAATTTTACGTAATCTAATTGTCATATATCTTTTGTTGTTAAATGTAATTGTTTCACTTTTTCAAAATAATTAAGATGTAACATTAAATTATTTCTCTTTACATATAGAGAAATATTCCAAATTTTCTATTTGTGCAATTTATTATATTCATTAGGTAACTATTTCATCACATCTTACATATACGCAATTTATTATATTCATTAGATAACCGTTTCATCAAATCTTATATATAAATGTGATTTTCAGTATTCCCTAGATTTGCTTTTTTTACTTTTTGTATTTCTTCTTTATTTAAAAGATATATTACTATATTTTTAATTTTATTAGTTATTTCAATTTTTTCAAGAATTACTTCAATTTGATTTTAAAAAAAGAGATTTTTAACCATGAGAATTTTTGCAAAAGATAATTTTCTTTTAATTTTTTCCACTTCAATAGAAATTTTAAAAAGTTTTATACCATTTTCTTTACGCCAGATTTTAAGAAAGATATTTTTAGGTTTCTCCACAAATACTTTTTTAACTCTATCATTTTTATTCTTTTTACTTTTTACTGTTTCAAATTCTTCCTCAATA